GAGCATTTTGAGCGTCTTCAGTAGGCAGCGAATTGCTAGCCATGGTTTATGTGAGCTGTTAGGCTTTAGTCAGACGTTTAGGAGAATAAACTGCATATTACACCTGTCTGTTTGTTTCATTTGGAGCCAGAATTAAATGGCGGTGGCGAAGGGCTTTTGCTTTTGGTTTTGTTTCTTGCCATGACCTGTCTCTTTGATTCGTTTGCCCTGATTGGTCGAATTATATGGAATCACGAGACATTGTGTGACGGGGATTCCCAGAAAAATGCATATTCATGATCAAACATTGTCTTTTATTGGCCAGGAACGTACATTGGGAATTTTTGGTTGATAAATATAGACTCAAAATCAAGCCGAGACATATTCCAGAAATGAGGGGAATTGTAAACGTCAATAAACAATATCTTTTAGGTAATTTCTTTCCGACAATCGAAAAACGGGGAATATTCATTAAAAACACTGATTCGAAATACAATGCAATTAATGTATATAAAAACTATACAAAATAATGCTATAAAATACGACAAAAGATGGTGAAAATGAGACAAAATAAGGAAGTAAACATGAAATTCAATATTCGTCAGTGAACTGGAAAAAAAAAATCAACCCCAAATTAAAGATTTTAATTTCAAATTTCATTAAAATAACAACAGAAAATTTACAAACCAAAAAATCAGGCGGGTGTATACTTCGGTGCCGTTGTCTGCTATTCAATTTTCACACACACACAAAAAAATACACCTCATTTTTTCGTTTTATACGATATTCAAGACTTTTGTGCAGTGGGATTGGGTTATAATTGAAAAGATTTCTAGTTAGCTAATATAATTGACYAGCAAGAATTAAAAATGCGAGGTATCCCCAWGGTTTTCCTTTTTTCAGTCCCAATTTATCGATGACGTGTATCGTTGCATGATACGGAATCTGGAACCCGACATAAGTTTGGATATGGAATACGGAATCTGGATGCTTGGAATCCGGAATCASCGGCAATAGAAGCAGAATACTGTACAATAAGAAGAATCTGGAATTCAAATTAGTAACTTCAAACGTTTCCTAATGGGAAACGAGTCACTGACGACAACAATTTGAAAGCTAGGATGCTGTAATTCAAATTCTGAATTCATTTTGATGAAATCCAGAATCCTTGCGAAATTTCCATGGCGAAGAACGCTGCGGGTTGCGTCTCATGAATCTAGTGCAACATAAATCAATGATCTAACGTGTTCAATGTTACATGTAATGCTTTTATTGGTCWTTTTAGAGGCTTGCCGTTTGCATTGTGTTAAATAATTCTAGAATYCCCATGCCAGCTGAAAATATCTTTCATTTTGAAGCTCTAACTTCTTAAAACTATGTACTAGAAAATTTGTGTTGACAATCCGCGAAAAAATGTATATAAGTTATTGATGGCAAAGCTTGGCAAATGTTTAGTTGTTGTTGTTGTTGTTTTTTTGTTTTTTTTCCACCCGAGTTTTGATCGTAACTCAATACTATAGGGCCGGTTTACACTCCGACTTAAGTACGAGCTCAAACTAGCTAGAATACAAAAATTTTCTTTTCTTTTTGTWGTTGTTTGTTTGTCATTTCTTATGCTAATCTCTTTATGCTTATGTCAGTGCACAATCTCGGCTTCTGTCTCTGCTTTTGTAGAAGTGCGAACCGGCACTAAAACCTATTGTCTTTTTTATAATATATTTTAATCCTAAAACTATCTACATATATATAATATTATATACTAAACTCTTTTCTGTTTGAAACTATAGATTTTGTGAATTAAATTCATTTATGCAACTTTTGCAGTTGTGTGTCAAACTACCAAAATTAGCATGGCAACCATAAAACAATGAATTGTTTATACAGCGTCTTGTAAAAATTCTGAAAAGGTCAACAACATCTCTCATACATATATCGTAATTCGCATAATACTAATATTTTTCTCTTTTTTGTTAAGATACTTCATAATTGGTATCTCAATAAAATATATGCAAAATTATTTAGCGATTTCTACGTTAAAAGAGGGTTTATCTGGCTACTTTTTAGTAAAGATATCGTTGAAATTGTCAGAATTTTCCRACTGAGTAAATTTTGTGATTTATACAGCCTCTTGAAAAGGTCAGTCCACGTCGTAAAAAGACATAGTCCAATGATCTATAGCCACGTGTTTTGATACAAATCCAGTTTCTACAAGTGGAACATTTTCAAATATCCTTATACAATTTTAAAACCGCTCATTTCCTTACTATAAAACCTGACATTCTACACAATTTTATCTTTCAGAAGTTACATGGCAATTGGAACATTGGAAATGTCTTTTTTTGATGGACAATCTTTCCAAGATTKCTGTGTGAAATATCGTTATTAACGTAAAATTATAGCAATTCAAATTTAAGGCCTTGGATGATCTACCAGCATCCAATGCGGTCATATTTTAGATTTTGCATATGTAGAAAATAATGTGTGACTTCAAATATCCATTCGCAATCCGTCTTCACCCGTCGATTTTAAAATCAAATTTTACAGTATCTCCATTCATATAGCATGAAGGGATAATAAAGAGCAAGTTTCAGTTTTCTTATAATACGATGTCAGTTTTTTTAATTTTCAAACATAAGTATAAAATCTCGAAAGGGATGCTGGTGGATCATAGCCCTTTTAAAAATATATATATGTGTGTGTTGTTCGCATGTGTATGCCGTTCATTTAAATTGTATTATGATATTTGAGTGCATGTTAATTAATTCCGATTTAAATAATTATTAATTTGTTCATGATATTACTTAGTGATTCTTGCTGTATTCTTTACGAAAACCACAGACTTTTACATGATTTAATACCATTTAAATAGCGTYATATCATGTTTAATAGTATATTTTAGTGCCAACAATACCAGACTATTGAATGCCACTATACTACCAACTGACGCGAACAAATCCCAAACCTATAAAACTAATATTGTGTTTCTTGTATCTTTTGTTGGTATATGGAACAYTAACTATTGTTATAGCTATTTCACAAGCATCACAAAGACTGTCAGGCTATAGACCCCCTCCCCTCTCAACATATCCTCCTCCCTCCCCCTCACCTATCAACATATCCTTCCCCTCCCCTCCTAACATATCCTCTTCTCCCCTCCCCTCTTAAAATATCCTCCCTCCTCCCCTCTCAAGATCAGTTCCGCTTTTTTTCTTATTTTCACAGCATCATCTCCAAGCCGTGAGCACCCCCCATCATATGTGAAAATATATTCAAACTAACCCACTTTTTCAGTTCTCCGTGGTCCTTGCYTCACAGCGCCGTGAAATGAAACCACTAGCGTTATCCAGACGATGTCGTCTGAGCGTTATCTAAAGCTTATCATTGTAAAGTAATTCTTGGTTAAGGCGGAGTGCAAAAACTAAAATTGCACAATACAGTGGCAGTTTTATCATTATTTTTTTCATTGTTTAGTGGATTTATATTACCAGTGGTGAAAGTAGTATTGCGCAATTTTAGTGTTTTTACTCTGTTGATCCAATATCAAATCTCTAATTCTCATCCCCACCAGTTCGATCATGGGAACTTGCCTCTCCTACTTGAGAACCAGCCCTTGCATCAGTGTCTCGCTGTTCAGTTTCATCTTCTGGGCAGTACCCAATAAGCTTCCTTGATTTGAGCAGGGACGTCCCTGATTTGAGTGCATCAAAAAAGGCTTCATTTTCTGGGTCGTCGGTAGGTTCTTTTGGCACCACTATATTCTTGAYTCCCGCAGCGATTAACATGGCGACGCATTCAGGAGCTGGGATCTTGCTGCTGAAAAGGATGGAAGAATCATCCTCCATGTTTCTTTTGTTTCGTGTCAGCAATGCGTTTTCTTCTGCGTGGATGACATAGGGCTCCTTCTTTTCTGCGCCTGGGTCTGTGCTTGAGGCTCTTGGGAACTCTCCATAAAGAGCCTTGGCTGGGAAGCCATTCCATCCCAGAGCAACCACCTCGTTATGCAACATGAGGACACACCCAACGCGCCTTGTGGGGTCGTCACTTCTTTGAGAGAGCATTCGGGCCATTCGGGTCATGTGCAGTGCGTGRTCCTGCCAACTTTTATCAGATGTGGTTGGGATACTTGGGATTTTTACSTTGCTATCTTCGTYAGTTGCTTCKCCTTCATCRCCGCCGGGTTGTTTCTCCATTTTGGCCTTCTTGGTTTCTGGGTCAATCTCTCCAAATCTGATTCCGTCTGACACGCCTCCATACGTTGCCCTGGCAATCCATTTCATCAGGTTTTGCATRTCTTTCTTAGTCTCCTCTTTCATCGCGTCACAGAAAGCAGGCCACTTTAGGACTTCACCGGCGCTTTGCACCCACTGGTCGCTCCAGTATTCGTCTCGAAGCTCCCGTTCCATTCTCTCGACGACTTYTAGATCACAAGGACTGCCTGTGAAAGGTGAAACTTGTTTCTCGACATCGGCAATGACATTTTCTCTTATTTTAGGAATAAAGATAGACAGTGCTGTTGAGGAGGACTTAAAAAGAAAGAAAGAAAAAACAGAACAAATAATGTTAATATCAGACTTGGTGTACCCCTTGAATGCAGAGAAGAACACAGGGAGCCCACGCAATGACTTGGAACCTAGAATGGGGATAGAAACATGGTAACCTAACCTATTATATGCTCATGGTTTATTTCAAAAATTTCTCGAGGTCTCTTGGTTATTTCCCCCGAGTAAAATGAAATTTGATGAAAGAAAGTGAGATTTTTTGAGTATGATATAGTCACTACGCAATAACTTTGAAAATGAAAGTTTGAAACTGAAAATGTTTATTGTCATCTGAGCATTGCTAAAAAAGTTCTCATTATCTCTAGGTAATGTTGCCATAGTATTGAATTCCATTTTATGTGACGCACTTATGATAAAAAGTAACGGTTTGAATCGAGAACGGATGCATGACGAAGGAAAACTGAATATTTAGATCCAAGTCCAGACACGATCCACAATATTGAAAGTGAAAATGAAAATAAACCAAAAAAGTGAAAAATATCTAACAAAATGGGAAAAATAAAGAAAAGTGATTACGAATAAATGGAAGTGAATTGACTTTCTGAAGAATCATTTTAAGAATGAATGAATGTTTTTCTTTTGAAAATGAATTAATTAAAGCGAAAATGAAAACGATGAAAATATAAAAAACATTAATAGATGAAATCAAAAATAAAAAGAAGAGAATTTCGCTCAAATTTTTTAACTGAAAATGAATTTCTTTGTTCTATATATCAAATATATGTTTCAAAGATTTTGTAATAATTCTACCTTAAAGATGTTATCAACTCGTTGGACATCATCAGCATCATTCCATTCGGGCTCGATGGGAAGGAAGTACACCTTGGACACTTCGCATTGTACCAGGAGCTTGGCGCAGAAAGAGCACGGACGACGAGAGAGGTAAACTCGGCAACCCTTCACTCTTTCTTGACCAAATTTATTGAGAGCGCTCACTGCTGCATGGACTCCATCTTGGCTGCAGTCTACYGAAAGAGCACGGTCGTTTGGAAGGACGTACACCGCTCCGCATTTGTTGACCAGTTTTTTCTCAGTCGCTTGGCTTTCAGATTCTTGCTTATGCGGATTCTTCTGTTTAATCGTCACGCCACCTTCTTCATCGCGCTGTTCTTCTGAATGTTGTCCATCTTGACGAGAAAGAATGCGTTGCAAAAGTCCATAATTATCTGGGTTTTCGGCCAGAGCAGACCTTTCCATCCACAAAGC